TCTGCGGGAGCGAGGAAGGGCAGACGGAAGAAGCGGTGGTTCACGTTCGGACGGATCTTGTCAATGTTGCGGTTCAACCGCTGCAGTTTCGGCTTCTTCTCCTCCTGCTGCTGGGCTGCAAAACACAAGAGCATCCGTCCTCTCGTACACGCGCAAACAAGAGAGCATCCGTCTGCTCGTGCATGCGCAAACACGAGAGCATCCGTCTGCTCGTGCATGCGCAAACACGAGAGCATCCGTCTGCTCGTGCATGCCCAAACATGAGAGCATCCGTCGGCTCGTGCATGCACAAACACGGGAGCATTTGTCCAATTGTGCATGTGCAAACGTGGGAGCATCTATTCGCTTGTTTGCCTACAAACACGAGCATCCGATCGTCTGTCGTACATACAGAAACACAAGAGCATCCGTTCGTTCAGATGCCAATAAACACAAGAGCATCCCTGCGCTCGCACACCGACAAACACGAGAGCATCCAACCATCTGCTCGTACATGCAGAAACACAAGAGCATCTGTTTGCTTATATGCTCATAAACACGGGAGCTCGTCCTTTTGTACACATGCAAACACAAGATCAGCAGTCACTACCTTGTAATTAAAACCGAATTCAGCGAACAATAATGTAACATAGTTTCTACACCCATGATATCTAAACAAATAAATTAAAATAATAAAATATTGGGAAAAAATTTACATACATTAAATTACATTAAACAAAAAATTACTACGATTAAACCATGAAATTAAATTATCGAACGACAACGCGAGCCATTAGCCACAACTCCCGTCTCTCGTCGCCTACTCCAGTGCTGCCACCTACAGTTTTCTATCACAGCCTGTGGCGCCCTCTGGTTCTCCGTCGCTGCAGCCTTCTTGTTCTTCGACTTCCACTCGTGATAGACCTTCAGGCGCCGATGAAACTCCTCCCTGCATGCGTCAAGCAGTGCCACGTCTGTGTAAACAACAACAACATCAGTGCCAGGTCTGTGTAAACAACAACAACAACAACAACAACAACAACATTAGTGCCACGTCTGTGTAAACAACAACAACAACAGCAACATCATTAGTGATGTTTGTGTAAACAACAACGACAACATGAGCAGTGCCAGGTCTGTGTAAACAACAACAACAACATCATCATTAGTGACATGTTTGTGTAAACAATAACAACATTAATGCCAGGTCTGTGTAAACAACAACAACAACAACAACAACAACCTGAGCAATGCCAGGTCTGAGTCTGGGTGAACACCATCAATAACAACAACCCCTCTCTCATGCTTTCTTTCTCCGTCTCTTTCCTCCCCTCCTCTTCTCCCTCCCTTCCCTTCCCTCCCCCTCCCCCTCGCCCTCCTCCTCCTCCCTCCCCTCTCTCTCTCCCCCTTCTTCCCTGCTTTCTTCACTCACTGCACGATGTGCTGATGGTGTCTCGTAGCTCTGCATACTTCCACTTGTTGAGGTCGTGGGTCTCCCCTCCCTAACAACCTCTCCCCTCCTTCTCTCCTCTCTCCCCTCTCTCCCTCCCTCCCTCTTCCCTCCTCCGTTCACTCACCACAGGATGTGCTGATGGTATCTCGTAGCTCCGCGTACTTCCACTTGCTGAGGTCGTGGGTCTTGCCTCCCTAACTCGCTCTTGCCTCTCTCCCTCCCTCCTCTCTCCCTCCCTCCCTCCTTCTTCCCTCATTGTCTCGTAGCTCTCCCTCACTCTCCTCTCTCTCCTCCATCCCTCCCTCCCCCCATCCCTCACTCTCTCCATCCCTCACTCCATCCCCTGCCTCCCTCTTCCCTCCTTCCTCCACTCACCGCAGGATGTGTTGATGGTATCTCGTAGCTCTGCATACTTCCACTTGCTGAGGTCGTGGGTCTCCCCTCCTCCCTCCCTCCCCTCTCTCTCCCTCTTTCCTTCCTCCCTCCCTGCCTCCCTCCTTCCCTCCTCCCTCTACTCACCGCAGGACGTGCTGATGGTGTCTCGTAGCTCTGCATACTTCCACTTGCTGAGGTCGTGGGTCTCCCCTCCCTAACAACCTCTCCCTCTCTCTCCTTCCTCCCACCCTCCCCTCTCTCTCCTCCCTCCTCCTCCCTCCCACTCTCCCCTCTCTCTCCTCATCCCTCTACTCACCGCAGGACGTGTTGATGGTATCTCGTAGCTCTGCGTACTTCCACTTGCTCAGTTCGTGGGTCTTGCCTCCCGCTGCGTTAATCACGCTGCGAGCGCGCTCCGATCGCTGCAGCTGCGGAGTCTCTAATGCCTCGACGACACCTGGAATGTGTGTACGTAAAGCGATGACACAAGCAAATGCGTGCACTTAAAGCGATGACACACACAAACGCGTGCACGTAACGCGATGACACGTGCTCCGACCGCTGCAGCTGCGGCGTCTCCAATGCCTCGACGACGCCTGCAGGGGGGAATGTGTGTTTGTACAGCGATGACACAAGCAAACACGTGCACGTAAAGCAATGACACACGCAAGTAAACGTGTGCACGTAAAGCGATGACACACGCAAGTAAACGCGTGCACATAAAGCGATGACACGCGCAAGTAAACGCGTGCACGTTAAGCGATGACACGCACAAGTAAACACGTGCACGTAAAGCGATGACACGCGCAAACGTGTGCATGTAAAGTGATGACACGCGCAAACGTGTGCACGTAAAGTGATGACACGCGCAAACATGTGCACGTAAAGCGATGACACACGAAAGTAAATGTGTGCACATAAAGCAATGACACACGCAAGTAAACGCGTGCACGTAAAACGATGACACACGCAAGTAAACGCGTGCACGTAAAGCGATGACACGCGCAAGTAAATGTGTGCACGTAAGTGATGATACGCGCAAACGTGTGCACGTAAAGTGATGACACACGCAAACGTGCGCACGTAAAGCGATGACACACGAAAGTAAACTCGCATGCGTAAAGCGATGACACACGCAAGTAAACATGTGCACGTAAAGTGATGACACATGTAAAGCAATGAGATGGATGGGAAATGTGCACATAAACTGATGACATGCACCGTTCGCGTCAAAAATGTGTGCAAGTAAAGTTATGACACGCACCGTTCTTGCGTTTGCGTATCACAAAGTGGACTACGCATGAAGTGATGACACAGAGCAAAATACGACACGCAAAGCGATGACACGAGAAATCTACTGCAAAACGTGTCGCACTTGATCGACATGCACCGACGTGCACGTAAAGCAATGACACGTGTTATCTACGGGGTACGCCGTGCACGCAAAGTGATGATGTCACTCACCTCCGGACTCCTGTGCGAGTCTCGTGGCGAGTTCGTGGTCGCGCCGCTCCTGCGCCAGCTTCTGCTGCCGCGCCTCCTCGGCCAGACGCTCCTGCGCAAGCTCTGCCTGCAGCGCCTCCTGCAGGTAGAAAAAACAATTAATTTATTTTTAAACTTTATTTTTGCTAAGGTGGGAGATTTCCACGCGAGGGCAGCACGTGTCTATGCAGAAAGCGACATTACATGCAGTCTAATCTGTATGTGAGTCACTCCGGGGATATGCTAAGTGTCCTTTATACACAGGTGTCTGTTCTATAAAGATTGTTTTCGCCGTACGACTGCCACTCAAGGGAAATACCTAGTGTCCTTTATAGACAGGTGTATGTTCTACAGAGGTGATTGTACCGTACGACTGACACTAAAGCCTAGTGTGGTACTCTCGGTGGCCCCCCCTCAATCAAACTCTCGAAACTTCTTTCATAAAAAGCGTTACTATTGCGACTAAACTGACAAAACTATAAAAAATTAAAAAACGATGCCGTCTCCTTGTTTACCGTCAGACGACGTCCTCATTTGACGCGCGACGGTATATCGTCGAATTTATACCGTGTCTAGCATTTAACACGTCGCCTGTCCATGTAACCGACGGCTCAGGACCTTCTTGCCAGATTGGCTAACTCACTTCGCAAGCGCCGACTCCCGAGCAGCGCATATAGAATCGCCGAGGAACGCAAAGGAGTCGCGCTGACGCGTCCTCATGAGACCTCGACAGAACAATGCGGGTGATAGAGACGTATGTGCCCTGGCCGATAGTCTTTCGCTTGATGCCGACGGGAGCGAGTGTGATTCAGCGCCGCCACCGTGCGGCCTTGCGTGTCTGACGAGGAAGGACTGGCCTTCTCTTCTGTCGCCGAGGAGGAGGAGAAGCGAGTGCGCATCGAGAGTGGAAGCAAGAGGAAGGCCGAGGGAGGAGCGGCGACACTCGCGACGTCGCGCGTGCTTGTAATACCGCTCGTCCGCCCCGCAGGTGCCCTCTTTAGGCATGGGCGCTGGGCATATTACATAAGGTGAGGTCTCGGTTGCATGGCGTGCCCTTCGGCAGACACACGGGATCAGCCGTGTTATAGAAATGGCTGGGATCCAACTGGAGGTTGTTCCTTCCCCTGTTAAGTCGTCTGATCCAATAGTTGGACAACAACTCTATAGAACACACACCTGCGTATAAAGGNGTGTCGTAGTAGTGTGTGTGTGTGTGTGTGTGTGTGTGTGTGTGTGTGTGTGTGTGTGTGTGTATATGTAGTGTGTGTGTGTGTGTGTGCGAGCGCGCGCGCGCGTGTGTGTGCGTGCGTGGGCGTTTATACATAATCCGGAGACATTTTTTTCGTGATAAACCCAATTTTAATTAAAACCCAGTAACGCCAATATTATTACAGCACAGCCAATTCTTAATGTGCAAATAGTTATTCTCACAACTTCCTCGTCATCATCAGTCTAGATTGCCTAAAATCACAGACGATGCAACTCTACATTTACTTCGGTGCAGATGAGATTCATCGTTCTATGATCACTTTGCTAACCGAAAGTTAGAAAGTATACACGATGCTTTTGTATATTGTGATGTCCATGGCCACCACGCAAAATACGATAAACCTATATAGTAGCAGATAATAATCAGAGAACGAGCGAAAACATAGAAATGAACATAAATACAAATGAATGAAATCATACAGTCTTACGAGAATTATATTCTCGTTACGCTTGAGCGTTACTTAATCATATTTGTAGGTGAGTGTTCTACTGCGCGTTGGTGATTATGATGCGACGGTACATTTTAATGTAACAACATTGTTTCTAAATCATCCATACGAAATGTCTTTCCATTCTGCGGCGCATTATCTTATTTAGCTATGCATACAATGGGGTTAGCCGCTAGCTTTTCCGCCAGGTGGCGCAGCGGGAGTTAGCGGTGTTACAACGATTGCGCAACGAACGAGTCAGTTGTAAGGATGCAGGAATCATAGCGATATAACCAAGTTAAAATGCCTTCGTACTGTTGTGTTCCTGGTTGTAAGTCGGCTAAAGCTGGTCATAAGTTTCCAGCGAACCCGAATCTGAACTACAAATGGAGGGTTGCTGTGAGGAGAGTTGAGAAAACCACAAAAAATGTGTGGAAACCGATGAGGCATTCTAAAGAAGATGCCTGATCGGGAAACTATTGACGCGTATATGCCAACAAATTTCAACAAACTGTTCCCAAACACAAGAGTTATTTAAGATGCAACCGAGAACCACAAACCAATTCACAAACCAAGTAGAGTTGATGACCAGAGTGTTACATTTTCTACGTACAAAAACAAGAACACTTTAAAAACGATAATCAGCTGATAGCCCAAGAGGCCTTGTTACTTATGTCAGTGATAGCTATGGTGGTAGCGCCAGTGACCGTCAAATTATTGAGAGGTCTGAGCTGTGTAGTAGTGCTATGTTTGACAGGGGTGACAGCATCATGTCAGATAGAGGAATTATGGTTCAGGATCTGTTTGCTATTAAACAGCTTTGTTTGCTTGTAAACACGCCGTCAATGCTCAAAGGAAAATCTCAACTTAATGCAGAGACAGTTGTTAGGGATAGACGTATCGCATCTAAGAGGATTCATGTAGAGAGGGTCATTGGTCTAAGCAAGACATAGTAAAATATTTACAAGGGACCTGCCTCATCAGAAGATTTTCTCTCGGTGGCGAGCTATTGTCAGGCAGTATTGCCTTATAGTGTCTGCTAGTAAAATGGCTGCGTTTTAGAAATAAAGATTATACATTAATTTTGTTTGCACTGCAGTTTTGTGCTTTACTAATGTCTCAATAAACTATTACATAGACTCCTGACCACACTACAAAAGAATAAACACCACACTTCACTATGCACCACTATTCACCTAAAGTCTCAATAAACCATTATTACATAATCCTCAGCACACACAAAAGAATAACACACCCACTTAACATCATGGACGCCCCACAAGCACACACGTACGCATGCACGAACCCACGCACGGCACGCACACACGCACGCAAATACTGTGTACGTCCGACAGTACGTGCACACGGCACGCACGATGCACACACAGTGTTACTGCCACACGCACGCACACACGCTACGCATGCACGCTACATGTATGACCACACGCACACGCACGCCACAGCACGACGCGATGCACGCTAAG